GGTGCAATTAAGTGAATAGAACTTAGTGATTAGTTGGGTTTGTATGCTTCCAGTCAAATTAAGGCAAAACAAAATCAAACTTTTGTTTCATGAGTTACGTCCTCAAGCATACTCTTCTCTCAATTATCAAGCTGTGACTATACGCATTCAGTCATTCTATTCTATCCCATTGTCAAGGTCAGTGTTAGGGTACAAACTTAATTATGGAACATTTTCTTCCTTTAACTTGATTCTATTCAGTGTATTCTGTCAGAGTGCTTTATTTCTAAGCCAGTGACACGATGCAGAGTGATTTCACAGGAGAGATTTGAATAGAGACTAATTGTATTCAACTTTGTCAAACTTCATTTAATTCAAAAGGCCGCCCGCTTTGACCTCCCTTTTTAACCTTATCTATTTATTATACATTTCTATATTCACTTCTTCATTTTCCATTCAGAATCATTATTGTGAGGTCAGATGTAGCTAATAAGTTCGAAGCAGTGCATTGTCAACAGTTCCTATAAGTATCATTGATGTTAAAGATGAACAAGTCACCCTGTGTATTTTTCTTGTTTGAAGGACGATGGCGGAACTATGAATGCCCAAATAGTGCGTTTGCGGAGCTGCCACGGGTTCAAGGAGATTGGATCACTGTTTTGTTCACGGATCGGCCTCAATTCAGACACTACATAAAGACGCAGAGAGGCTGGGAGAGAGCAGTCTTTGTCGAGCTTGAAGGAAAAAGGTAGGATAGGAAGAAAAAAAAAAATACCCACGATGCAACAGTTTTTCTCTGATCCAGACTTCAGCTATATACGTATGGGCAGAGATGAGCTATCTTGTGTGCCTTTTCTTTCGCCTCTCTGTCCGTGTGATGAGTTAGCAAGACCTGCAAGTGATGAGGAGAGATAGAAGATAGAAAGGGTGCCGCTATCAGGTGGCATTCTGGGTAATTACAACTCTCTATTTGGGGGGTTTGCCGAGATCCAGAGCTGAGATAACTACTATATAATGAGGAAGAAAAGGCAGCAGATAAAGGAAGGGCTAAATGGTGCAAAATAGACTATGATGGGAAAGTCATTGCACAGCCTCAAGCCTAAACACACAGTATATTTTTTATTTTAAACACTACCACAATTACTAGGGCAATAAATTGTACAAATACTGCTCTATAAAAGTATTTTTAATATGGAAATTAAAATGGAAAAAAAATAGATAGCTGCAGCTTAGTTAGTAGAGAAATTTGTCCGCTAACCATACGTTTGGCGGTTCAATTCCTGTTTATGCATACTTTTGTTGTGACCTTGACCCAGACACTTTAGCCTCCATGCCTGTTTTTTCTGTGGTTATTATCAGTTATTACTGCTGCTTAATTTAAACATTTCTCAAATATTTTTCAGCAATACATCTTCAGAAAATTATAAGTACAATTATTCAATAAAGACAGTTTATTAGAGTAGTGTTCTCAATTAGATAACTTGATTGCTAAATTAAGCAGAACAAAAATATAATTTTGTTTACCACCTTTGTTTTTATCTTTTTCAAAACAGACTATGTTGGAAAAGTCATAGCACTGCAAGCCAACCATGCAGTAACTAAACATACTGTACCAGACCCCCAGGCATCTATCACAGATCACAAATGGTACAAAATGCGCTGATTTTTTTCCTAATGATCCCGTGAGTCACTTGATTGGTAGCGCTCGTGTTGTTTGCCCCTCAGGCTGCACAGATATTCTGCAAGTGTAAGATTACGTATAATACTTTGACAAGCAGCGGTTTAAAGATGAAGGTCTTATCAACCTTGTGGACTGCGCTGCCTTCTGTGGCGCTATTCTCCAGCTCTATAATGTGCTTTCTAAGTTGTGTTTGTCCAGGGTGCTCAAAAGAGAACTGCTCCAGCATCCTTCAGACCCTAAACACCTTCTCTTGTATATTATTGTGCGTTTTTTTTTTTCTCTTCTTCACCAAAGGATCATGACCACTATCAATAGTATTTGTGCTAATGTGATTAAGTTAATACCAAGCGGATTATTTCTCAATTCCACTTGATATGCGTAATATTTAGGTTGGTGTTTTTTGAGTAAACATTTTCAACCAAAATAAGACAAAGACGTGAAAGCATGCCCCAGGGAGCAATAAAAAACTGTATAATTAGAATGATTAAAAGAAAAGTACACAACTCATTTGGCACTCTGTGAATGTATTTGCAGCGTTTCAAAATGGGTCACAAATTTAAGACGCACAAGACAGCCGATCAACTTTATTCACATTAATTATGCATTTATTCAGAGGGCCTGCGTTAGTCATTCAAAGTGATGTGAATTGCCACAATCCGATCTTGCGCTTAAGCATGTTTTCTACATATTGTAAAGGGCTCTAAAGCTACCTCATTATGCAAAAAAATGACTTGGTCCCATCTAAAGTCTTTAAATAGCAATCAATGGGGGAGCTAAACTGTTGTCATTATAAGACTTGATGAAAGGGCCTGCTTTAAAACTCAGTTACTGCCGCTAATGGCTTGTGATGGGGACAAATTGACTGTCAATATGCTCTCCACACTACCCTTTTGTCCTGCTATAGAAAAATACATTAATAATTTCTATTCCTGGCGTTCCAAATCTTTGATCTGGGAATTCTTTGTCTCTTCTCGCAATTTCACTAAGCATCTTATTGATAGGGAAATAGGGTACAGGATACAAATCATTGAACTAAAAATATTTTGTATTAATTTGTGTAGATTTTTATTTCTCAAACAATTAATTCATTTTCAGTGGATTATCTTTGTTATCTCTAATCGGCTGTAAAAACTGGAGCATCTCCGCACTAATCCTTAACAGATAAAGCTCGATTTGAATCTCGTCTTGTTATAGGCCGTATGTGGAAAAGGCAAAAAATACCATAGACATTTCAATTGAGTTTATTTATTTATTTATTTGCCAAGCTGTGAGCAAAAAATAGGCAGGTATATTCTCTCTCTCCTCATCTTTTCTTCAAAAACCACCCAAATAATTAGTTAACTTTCAACTTCAAAACATTACTTGGGTTTGGGGGGGTCTTGTGAAGTAACACTGTTTGTTTATCCAAAAAGAAAAAGTCATCTGATAAGAAGAGGTCAAACGCATGCTACCTTGAAATCAATTTTAGCTCCATCTCCCAAAAGGTGCCACTCCGGGAATAAACAAGAAAGAAAACCTGGAGTGCCGGGTACCTCATCATGTCGCTTTATAATTTGGTCCTATCATAGTACCTCGGGGGGCTCCTGTACTGCAGACTGATGGTTTGTGCATGTGATCTCTCTCTCCTGGAAGTATAGCAATATGTCCCCATGGGCTTGTTGTTGCTTATGCCACCGCTGCTGTCGCCTGCCTTCTATATTTGCATGATATTTTTCTATTCAGTTTCCTTATCACTGTAGCGCTGTGAGGTAGGAGTGCTAGAGCCATGGCTTCCGTCTCAGAGGCTGGACCAGGCTCTCTATCAGCGAGGTAATTCTGCCACTCTCACTAACTCATCTTTGAATTATTTAAGTGTCATTTCTGGCACTCAAGCACAGGTAGAAGAGGATAAGAACATGCAAACTGAAGTGTTAAATATGGTATCAGATTGAAGTGAAATTGGGTGCATAATTATTTTTGGGCACGAAAGCTAATGTTGAAATGACATTTGTGTTCAGAAGTGGTGAAAATACTGTTACATTTATTATTTTACACTTCAATTTACATTATAATTACTCACAAAATGTTAAATATTTTACCTAGCATGAGGAGCACTGTCTTTTCCTGAGAAGAAAGTGCTCTGATTTAATCCCACAAATTCGTTTTCATATTACCAAGAGTGAGCACAGCGCACAGTCCAGGCAAGGTAAGCGCTAAATGTTATCGATACGCATGAGTGAGTGGGGCCCGTCCACCAGAACGCAGAGCTTATTTAATAATAATAATAATTAATAATAATAATAATAATAATAATAATAATAATAATAATAATAATAATAATAAATGTGATATATTGTTATTTGTTCTTATAATAAATTAAATTAATATAGGCTATTGAAATGAATTTGACGTCTATTTTATGCTCATTTTAACAGCAGACCTGGAGCCTTCAGAACTATTTATTATGTTCTTCAATATAGCCCTTCTCTGCTGCTTTTTATGTACATTTATAATTACGCACAACGGGTAAAAAGGTACGAGAACAAACCACTTAAACGCACAATTTACTCAACAAGTCCTGTTAGATAGCTGTAATTGCTTAGCTGAATATTCGCCATTCTCTCATTTCACTTGTCGATTCGCTGCCCTTGGGAAAGTCCTTTGAAGTAAACGTTTTAAAAAAGCGAAGAAGAAGAAAAGGGGGGAGCATTTCTGCAAAGTAATTAATTTGAACCGAGCGCGATTAGAAACACTCGAGACCTCCCTAACGTGAGACTATTTACGACAAATGCATGCGGCTAATGTCAAAAAATCTCCCTTTGCTTGTCGCCTCTGCTGTTAGTGATTGGGGAGTGACAGGCTGGGACTGACATGAGAGACACGTTAGATAAGGCAACTGTGAAAATAAAAAAGCCTAATCAAAATAAAATAAATAATAATGATGTCAATAATGCGGAAAAGTATGATAGTCTAACGAATAAAAATAAAGACTTTATGCAAATGTTTAATAAGCCATGCGTAAAATGTTTTTCCGTTATGAGCAGGCAGGCTGGCAGTTGCATTGAAGGCCTAAAATTAGAACAATGGGCCCAAACAATACAATACAATAAGGACACTTAAAGGATGGCCTTTCTTAACGTCACGGTAACAACAGCAAGATCATCGCGTTGTGCGTAAAAGAACTTTGACAGATAATGACGAGCCCAGAGCGCGGACAAGGAGCGCTTCAGCATCAACCTCCAACGGGGTGGGATTTGGAGAGGGAAAAGTCCCGACAGCTTGTCAGCCCTCACTGCGCATGCGTCAGTAGCACTTTCACTACCTGACACTGAATCGTGTATTTCACATGGGGCACGCCGGAGCGCTCATCCACTCGCGTAAACGACACTGTTGCTGCCAGTGCTCCGCGTCTGCGCCTGCTTGATGACAGTCCCGAGTGACAGCAAGGAAGGCAACGCGGCTTTTATTCTTCTCTTTTTTTCGATTTCTGTCATAAAACTATTGGACGTCACAATGAAGCTGAAAACATAAGTTCAGGACGCACGCGGAGACAAACGTTTGTTTTTTTTAGCAGATAAGCATCGCCGGGATGCAGAATTGAAGTCTTGAGAGTAAGTAAATAGATTTTCTTTGTTTTTTGTATGTGAATTTACATTTAGTCTTGTTGCTTTACGTGTATCTTTTTGACTTTTAACATCATCCGTGTTCTTTCTGGTTGTGTTTTATAGTTTGTCATCGCCATGTCAAAGCCAATGGATCACGTAAAACGTCCTATGAATGCCTTTATGGTGTGGTCCCGAGCCCAAAGAAGGAAAATGGCTCAAGAAAATCCCAAAATGCACAACTCTGAAATCAGCAAGCGGCTGGGAGCGGAGTGGAAACTTCTGACAGAGTCTGAGAAGAGGCCGTTTATAGACGAGGCTAAAAGACTTCGCGCCATGCATATGAAGGAGCACCCCGACTACAAGTACAGACCGAGGAGGAAGCCAAAGACACTCATGAAGAAAGACAAGTTTTCCTTCCCGGTGCCCTATAACCTCGGGGAGCACGAGGCGCTCAAGGTGAGCGGCCTTTCAGCTGGAGCTCTTTCGGACTCTGTCATTGGAAACCCAGATAAAGCCGCGGCCGCAGCTGCTGCCGCTGCAGCGCGTGTTTTCTTCAATCCGTCCATGTCCACGAACCCTTACTCCTTTTTCGATCTGGGATCCAAAATGACTGAACTTACGCCACCTTCTTTCCCGTACGCCTCCCCATTAGGGTACCCACCTGGAAGCGCTACAGCCGCTGCGTTCGCCGGGGCAGGTGGCGTGGGCGGAGGCACGCACACTCACACGCACTCGCACCCATCACCTGGGAACCCGGGCTACATGATCCCGTGTAACTGTACGGCGTGGCCCTCAGCGGGTCTCCAGCCGCCTTTAGCCTACATTCTGCTGCCTGGCATGGGCAAACCTCAACTTGAACCTTACCCTGCGTATGCAGCAGCGTTATGATAGGACACCTTCAATAATGTGAACTTACTACGAAGAAGAGAAAAGTTTTATTATGCATGCACAAACTTGTACATGTGATGAAGTTCTCGTGGTCTCACATATCACATGTGTTCTGTATATGATTATACCTTTATCTATAAGGTTATTAAGACACTCTCTGGACAATAAGAGCTCTTTTTATGTTTGGAAGCACTGGCTCAAAATGGAAGAGTTTTGAAAATGACTGTAAATGTGTACACAAGGAAACAATCGCCTCTTGATTTGCCACTCAAGGCTTGTGTTTTACATAGGGCCTGTTTCACTTCTCCGTTTTAGTGTATATACCTACTTTGAGTTTTACCCCCAAAAACCTGTTTATAGATGTCTGTAATATTTATTTGTTTTAGTGGAATTTATGGTGACGAAAGCTACACTGGATATGTCTTATTTGCACATGAGGGTGTAAGTTATTTCTCTCGTCCAACACACTGGCTTTATTACGATTATAGGCAACTTTTTACCCCCTCGCTCTTATTGCTCTTATCTTGTGCTACAGACAAAACAGCGTTTTAACTAACTCTTATGGACTTTGTATGTTTTGTGTTTTCTTTCAAACATCCCTTCTGTATTTCAATCTATTGCTACTTGTTGAGCGTAAAAAAGGACTCAAAATAAAAGCGGATGAAACGGAAAGCAATACACTTCTCGATGAGATGAACAAGATTGTTATCTATTTGTCCTTTTTTTCTTCTCCTCTCTCCCTTCTGGCTTCGGTCTAGTCCAGGTGAAGTGTAAGGTATCCTCTAAAGGCCGCTTTTGTCTGCGCTTTGAATGCCATTACTACGGTGTGTGTGCGTAAAAGTGAATCTAAATCAGGCCATTGTTATCCAGAGCCAAAGTCGTATTTATCACAATTTTAATCGTGAATGGGGAGGAAGATAACACCGTTAGCTTTTCTTTTTCCCACATGCAGAGACAAAAAACGTATTTGGAACGGGGAACAAGTGCGCCTTTCAAAACGAGCCGAGCGCGTAATATTGTAGAGGAAATGACAAGTGGAAAGAAAGTACAGGTGTGTGTGTGTGCGTGCGTGTGTGTGTATTTTAACTGTTGGTAGCTATTAGATCTATAACATGTAACCCGAGTGACTGAGACGGACTGAAAGAGGGAGAGACGCGGATTCATAGGGATCAGAGCGATTATGCAAAAACTAATTTGGACAGTCCAGGGATAATTACCTCCGTCACGCTTAATTAAACCCTTTCAGCGCTGTGTTCACCATAGTGACACCCCCGGCCTAGAACCTAACCTCCCCTCTCCTCACCGCCCCCACCCACCCTCCACTGCCATCCAGACATCCCAACTTCCAAGATCACTTTGCCTCTGAAAAAGAAAAAAAACTTTTTTTCTTGTGCGTAAAACCAATGCTTAAAATCCGTTATAAGCAGGTGCATCGTGGAGGAATTTACACTTGTAAAAACAGATTACAGCTTAATACATTTTGCCACTTAAAATTACTATGTAAGAATAGATGTCCTAAAAATATGTGCGTAATCTAAAAATAGCAAATTACGCGAAGCTACAGTGGGAATTTTCTCCTTTTTTAGAATCATTCTCGGGGGTGAAAAGGGGTTCCAAGAATTTGAAAGACTTTTTTCAACTATGGGAGCGTTTAGACGGTCGAGGAGGTTTTGTGTGGGAACAAAACGCGGGGTTGGGAGCTTTTTGTGCGAGTGTTGTTTGTTGAAGTGGAGCTCTGCAAAAGCGGCTGCCTTTCCCTCATTGTGATGAAAGCAATCAGTGGTATTTGGAAAACTGTTAGCATTGTGCACTTCTTCTGTGTCCATTGTGCGGGATTTCTTTTCACCAGGTTTTTTTTTTCAGCCGATCCAGCTGGCCGGAGTGAATAGCAGCGCAATGTGTACACGCTTTGTCCCTCCAAGCCCTTCAAGTAGCCCTCCGTGAATAGAGTGAGTTGACACTGCATGACAGTGAAACAACATAATAAAAAATACATGAGCGCGTGAATAGACGCAGGCGCATAAATAAATAAAATGGGTGGCCAAAACTGGATAAACCGAGTGACAAAACGGTGAAAGGGGGAACAAAAAGATATTTAACACGCTAGATTAGCATGAGAATGCAATCTACAAACCAGAACAATTGATGAATGGGTTTACCGGCCAAGAAAGAAATGGACTAAATGCCTTTTGAATAGATGGCCTATGTTTTTCCTGTCAAAGAGTGAGGCTGAATAGGGACAAGGTGGAGATGGGACACGGGAAGAAGCGGGAGAAAAGTTTGGTCCACTCCAAAGGTGCTTACAAGAAGGCAAGGTGCATGCGTCATTTAAAATCACAGTCAAAGCAGTACAGGCTATGATCACAATTTCAAATTCATAAAATCTTACAATCATTATAAACTGTCTTCGTCAGTCTCTTTTCTTGTACATTTATTCACAAAATGCCACATTTACCCTTAACCTTTCCTTAAATTTAAAACCGAGTGTGGAGTGAATGAATCACTGTAAAGCGCTTTGGGTCTCTTGAAAGGCGCTATATAAATCCAAGGATTAAAAACCACTATTGCAATACACTAGTTTATTACTTCTTTTATTTAACTATATCCATAGATACCTTTTGCACTTGCACCTAAATAGGTTTATTTTGTACATTTTAAGATAAAATAAAGGTGTAAACAGTGAGCACAAGAGTTGTGTCTTGTATGAATTTTTATGCCATCATTTACTATTTTAACGCAATAAGAACTTTCTAATATGACTAGTAATCACACATTTCCTTCAATAAATGTGTATTCATTTCCAAATTACACCAAGGCCTTGAAAGTCATTACAGCCTCTTTTATAAAGTATCTAATTAAAACAACACTTATTCCTTTGTTAAATAATCAAACAATTTGATGAGGGGAATAATATTAAGTTTGAAATCCTTGACAACTCTTGTCTGGCTGTATTCATCCACTCTGACATTTCCAAAGGTGAGAGATTTTGGGGCATGGCAGCCGGGTGATATTCTCTAAGCCCCCCTCCGATGCCCTGATACCATTATGTCTTAGTGTTAAACCCGTTATGTGCCTGTAAGACATTTGTCGGCGTGAGATTAGGCAAATGAACACACTACATATGTATCTGCAGTTCAAGCGTGTTTGACCTCAGAGCCATGTACAATAGTTCCCTCATCCTTAATTTGCTTAAGGCTGGCCTACGAGCAACCAGATTATCAGCTTGCCTCAATAGCAAAAGATGGTATTTTTACTGACATGAATAATACATCAATATAGTCTTTGAGGATATTTTTTTTCTATTTGTTTGCAGGAGAATTTACCTGGGATGGCTACACCTGGATCCAGTGTTGTAAACCTCAAAGAGCTATCACCGCTCACCTCTTCCATCTCATTTTGAACCAAATCAAAGTGTGCAAAAGTCTCTCCTCCAGCAATCTCTCCCATCTCAGGTTCAGGTCAGGAATGTTTATGAAGGCACACATATTACCTGTAATCTGTCCGAGTGGGAATCGCTGTATTTTTTGGACTTTTCTATGCTCCCAGGAGGGGGGTATAAAATGGGGGAGAAAAAATTATCTTGCATTGCACCTTTGCGGCAACAGCTGAAAACGTGGCAAATCAAAGGCGGAAAAAAGGGTAGGTGTGTCACTGTGCCCAGGGTCAGTCAGAGAGATGAGGAACTAAACAGGGACCCTCTGAAGTCCAACTTTGGATATTAGGAGTTAATGCTACAGACTGGGTTGAAGCAGGAAGCAGGCAGGTGGGATGTGAATTGAGAACAAAGTGAGATGCTCCATGTGTTTCTATAAAATGGCACAGTTCCCCTACTATATATATATATGTATTGCATAAACATTTCCTTAGAGATGTATGCAGTTACTTGTGATTTTGATAGTTCATTTAGGTTCAAGTTTAAATAACAAATAAGGATGCCTGGTTAGTATTGGTCACCCATTATATCTAGCCTTATAACTTGTAAGTAAATAGATAAAGTCTCCTTATATTTTGGCTTAACACACAGTGAGAGTCCATGCATACATAGCATATTAGAAAATTAACTTAAAAAAAAAACTAACTAACTTATACCAGACATATAATTAATGGCTGTGATATAATTATATTTGCCCTGTGAGGTCATATCAACTATGTACTCGAGATGGTCCACCGGCTACAGATAGGCTATAGAGAGATTATTTATTTAAAATTTTGTTATTATTTTATATTATGTTTGTTCTAGATTCAGTGTTTAAGCAAAACTATTATTAAACATTTATTTTAATAAGAAAAGGTTTAACATTACATATCTTGAAAGAAGAGAAAACATGCAGATATTGTTGAAATTTTTCAATAAATATTTAGTTTGCCCCATAAATTAATCCTAGTTTTTAATTTTGGCCCTCTGTGAATTTGAGTTTGACACCCTTGAACTAGACTAACAATTAGAAAATTCCCATGCATATTACATTACATTTACAATATAAAAACACATCATGTTAAATTATTGTACCTTATAACCTTACTTCAATCCTGTCCAGTCAGATACAGAAAGTTAATGAAGGCTTGTTTGAGTTTGTATACTAAATATTTACTTGTCATCTTGGCCTTAGTTGATAAAAAATAATTATTTATTAAATTAAATGTACAATTTTTGAATGACTAGACTCTATTTAAGAGTGTCTGCTTTGAAACAGTGTTGAGCTCAGTCTGACTCTAAAGCTCCCACTACTGTCTAAAACCACCCACTGCAACCTTTTTAAATTATAGGAATCAGTTCAAGTGGCATTTACTAGTCAAACATAATTTACAGAAGTGTAATTTAAGATGAATAAAACATCTATGGTGACAGAAGATTAGACTTTCTGTAAATAGTTTATGAAGCATTTAACCCAAAATCATGAAGCAGGATTACACTCAGGATACGTCAATAAATTGGAATAATGTCAGTGTGTGTAGCCCTTTAAAAATATTCTTTAACAACTGACATGACATTTTTTGTTCCTTTTCCAAATGACCGCTGGCAGAGATTGGCTGGTTCTCATATTAATTCCCAGGTTTTTCAAGGAGGGGAGAAAAATATATCTATCATAATGAAGTTGAAGAGCCGATGCCCTGAGGTACAGTCACAAAGAAGTCTATCTTACTATAACACAGGAGACACAGGCTACAGATAAGTACCTGTCAGCTTGGCACAGTCTACATGCTCTGCCTATCAATAAAAAGAGATTATTTTTCCCACTTATTACAACAAAGATCTGGAGGGCTCGGAGATTGCACCTTTAATGAGTAGGAATCATTTGCAGACATACTCGAACACACCCCTCCCCTCCCCTCTTCCTCTTCTCTCAATTTTTATAAGAACTTATTAAAATGAACTATTGCCAACATTAATTCTCCTGGATTATTTATTACATTTTAACAGGATTAGGGAGAGCAGAGCACGATTTGGGATTCACAGCCCGTTGTTGTCGATAGGGAGGGTTTTAAGCGCTGAAATTCTCGACTTGTTGAAAGTAACATAGGCAAAATAGATCATTGTCAAAATGGGATGTGACTCCGTAACTAATCTTTGGAATTATGTCAGGTGAATAGGAATTAGTTTTCTTCTGTCAGTGAGAAGTGTATATCATTATGCCA